CTATACACTTCATCTGAACCTGTAATCCTTCTAGTTGAACTTCAGTTTCACAAGCAACTCATTCAATCAGTTACCCAATTGCATAAATTTTGTTAGTGCACAAAATGTTTATGACAGTTTACCTAATACTTTTAATTAATTAAAATGGGTGTGCACAAAATATTTTTTATATCTAGAAAGATTTATATACCACTATCATAAATCTATCTAAAATTAATATACATTCTGACTAGGCAAATCAGCATAAGCTTACTATTATGCAAAAGTGACCTAACAAATTTCTAATTACAAGACTCACCAAAGAGGATTCTCTGACAGTGTCCTGTTTCACTGTTCTTGGGCTTCTTGTCGGACTTGCACTTTCTTCCCTCTTTTTTGCTGGTGATTTGATTGGGCTGCTGGTTTTGCTGGGTAGGGGGACTTTTGAGGGTGAGCGATTAGCAGAGTTTACTTTGGAGGGGGAGGATTTGACCGAGGAGGATGGGGTACTTGTTCTAGAGGAGGCACGTGAGGTGGGCACTTTCGAGGGTGAGGTCAATCCTGACTGCTTGTGCTGAGGGGATGTTTTGGTCGCAGGTTTCTGCTGAGGTGATGCAGTTCCTGCAGTCTTGCGAGGTGAACTCAGTGGGGTGGGAGTCTTTGAGGCTGATATGGAGTTTGCACGGCTAGCTGCAGAAGTGTGTTTGGGTGAAGCATAAGGGCTGGCTTTGGGAGAGGAACTTGCTGATGATACTGTTGTCCTCCTGCTACCACTGCTCGGTCTCGCATTGCCAGCAGAGTTCTGCAAACTGCTTGGTGTAACCTTTGATGGAGACGAAGTACTTGAGGTCTGTCTGGAAGATGGTTTGGTAACAGTAGGCTTCTTTGTGGTCTGTGGAGTGGGTGTTTTTCGGCTTTTGCTCTGAGGAGGTATTTCTCGTGGTTCGCTGGATGACTTAGATGACCTCTGTGTTCGTGTGCTTGCCGGCGGGGGTCGAGCACTTGACGTGCGAGGACGACGTGTTGGAGTGTTTGCCTCACTGCTTGACCCTGACCTTGAAGCTATGGATTAAAAGATTGCATAAATTTAGAGCTTAAAAACAATTTTACCAAGGTTAGCTACCAAAATCAACCATACCTATCCTAATGACCTAATATATTCCAAAGTAAATCTGTTAAGTATAAATAAAGTACCATCTCAAATCCAGTATGTCAAAACATCTTATCGAAAACAAGACCTTGGCTACAAAAATGTTTTTACTGAAATAAGTTTAACTGAAAAAAGAGGGAGATCTATAACATTAAGAAGAAAACTGAGAACAGTATACAAACACTCACCACTTGACACTGTAGGCCTAGCTGTTCCCCGCACGGACCTTTGAGGAGGGGGCGTTGGCCGCTCATTGCGTCTGCGGTTTTGGTCATGAAGAGAAATGACCTCCTGTTGGAGAGTCTGGATTTCTTGACGAAGACCATCCAATTCCGACCTGAATAAATGATAGGATTCTAATGTAGCTGACTTATGCATTGGCTTATAGAGACATAAGAGGACGAAAGAGTTTTATTTTTATATTTTCTTTATTTTTTTTTTTTTTTTTTTTTTTTTTTTTTTTTTTTTTTTTGTATTGAGACTATAGGTTCCTCTAACACTCAAACATACATATGCATAAGCACACATACAAGTTCATATAAATACATGAACACAAGCACAAAGGTAGATGCACAGACAAACAAACAAACCAACAAATAAAATACACAGACAGACAGACTCACTCACTCACACACACACACACACACACATCTATAAACCATATATCTTTAACCCATTGGATCCAACCAATGTGAACTTCATGTCTTGAAAAATTTGGCCGAGAGCCATTGACAAAATATGCCATCTAGGAAAAATTTGGCTGAAGGTGAGGGTAATGGGATGACAAATAACAAAATGTTACATATTGTTATTGTTATTGGACAAAGTTGTACCCTACCTAGAGACTAAATATAGTCTGTGTAAGGAAAATACTCTATTACCATCTTGATATAGCACATCAAATAACAAATATAGACTTTGCAAATCTTTTCAAAAAAATAAAAATAATGCCTATAAAGGAAAAGAGATAATGGCATTGCAAAGGGCAAGCAAGGAGTCTTCATACCACACATGAGAGTTTGTGTGGGCTAAGCCTACAAGCCACACACCTGGAAAAGTCGCCACTGAAGTAAACCTAAAGCCCAGATTTTGGGTCACTTGTCAACTGCAATGCACCAGGATCCAAAGGGTTAAGATTCTAAAACAACCTGGCCACTTTCTCAGCAACTCCAGTTCAGTTAATAAGTTCTCAGCTTTTGCAGAGAACAGACAAAATACATCTTATATATATGCAAGCAAAGCTATTTCTTATATCTAAACAAAAAGCAATAGCAGAAAAACTGTTTGTTTACATTAATTTCCTGCTATGAAGTTATGGTCAGTAATTCCACATTATTATATAGTAAAACATACACAAAAATTAATGGAATACAAAAGCAAATAAACATCACTCAATAATCATTTTCATATACCCATCGTACAAGTATTTAAAGACAGAGCTAGTGATTGAATGAATGAATGAATGAATGATAAAAATCTACTACAAATATGATTAACCCCTACTATCTGGATGACATTATGTCCCATCATGGAAAAATCTGGGTTGCGGGCTACGCGAGTGCACAAAACTCTTGGAGTATAATTAGACTCATTTGGCGGTTAGAAGGTTTTTTTTTTTTATTATTCTCATCAATTAACAAATGTGGAATGTAACGTGCATAAGCTGTGATTAAAAGAGTGCCAGCTCCAGGGAGGACGCCATTTCCATGCTGTAAATCATATTCCTGGCTGCTGTGACCAACAGCACAGGTTATATTATGGAAAATTTAAAATTATGAAAAAATTAGATTTATGACACAAATAACCAAATGTTCCATATTTTTATCTTGCATTAGGTTATTTAATACATAGAGAGATGATACGGTGTCTGTGCAAGGAAAATAAGCTATCATCATCTGGATAAATCAAAAGACAAATATGGACTTTGGAAAATAGCAAAAAACCTAAAAAAGTTTACACAAAAAAATTTGCAGTCTTGTATCTGTTCTCAAGTGTCTGTGTACACCTGGCCTACGCACCACACACCCAGGATATTGGCCACTTACGATAACCACTGCCCATATTTTCGGCACTGTGATTTGCGTTATGCAACATGGATCCAACAGGTTAAGTCCTCACATGAGTTAACTTATTCTAACCTCCAAAATACTGTGCTTTTTAAAACATTTGCAGCAAGTTTAGCAAGCAATATAAAAATCTGATCACATATGTATTTACATAAATAATAATCTATCTATCCATCAGTCTGTTGACCATGGTAATTTCTAAAACATACTTTATACTAAATTATGTAAAGTCACCTATGGTTTATACAGCAATTTGGAAAGCTATACTTAACACCACCTACACCAAGAACTAGTTAGGTAATTTCTAAAACATACTTTATACTAAATTATGTAAAGTCACCTATGGTTTATACAGCAATTTGGAAAGCTACAATTGTACTTGTGGTCTTACATACTGACATCCTAAACTTATGCACATAGCCTTTTAACCCATTAGAGACGGTTGTCCCATATATGACACCCGAAAAAATAAACATTGCCAGGTGTTCCGCCAGTGTGACGCTGTATTGGGGCTCGCGCTCCGACGCAACAGTGGGCCGCGGCTGGCAGGCGGACAGACTCCCGGGAAGCTCCACCTGCCGATTTTGTAGCCGCCCGGAATATTTTATTTTTGGTTTCAAAATATACCGCCATGAATGGGTTAAGATTTAGAAATAACCAAATCTTGCAGGACAACAGGATCCATAAGCAAATATATGAATTGATACGTATATTGGCCAGATGGAGAAATCAATATGAATTGATATTTTGATAAGCAAGATGGTTACATCAAATTGTCAAGGTCTGTATTACACAGCTATAACTATCTACACACAAGAATGCGTTGCTTCATGTGAATTTCATATCATGAGGCTAGACAAGATATGATATTGTGCAAATAACTAATGTATAAAAATTATATGGTTTTGAATAAGGTGTTTCATAAATACAAATATCCTGCTCACTGTTAGTAATCCAAGAGTCATAAAATGAAGACCAATACCATTTAAAGACCCATACATTCATTCCACCTGGCCTAGAACCTATCCATATGATAACGAACCCTTGACCTTCTGCAAAATGACATTTGTTAAAGATTTCCACACTTATGACCTACTTCCAACCATGTACTTCAGAGGCACCTAAACATTTCTTTTGTGTGTGTACAAGCTTAAAACTCTGAAAACCTTGCAGGCCCCCAGTATAAAGGATCACATCTCACTGCTAGAGAAAGTGTAAAAAGCGCAGCAAGAGAAACAGGCTATGGCGGTGCATAGAAACAATACATTATTCTTCTGAGTTGTGATCTGCATGAGGCCTAACACCTACATCTATCTGTATCAACCACTTTAAACAGAAAAGAATAAAGAGCAAAGCTGCAATGAATTCATAATAAAAAAGGATAAAAGTATTTTACTGGAAAAAAAAATCATAACAGGAGAGCATGCTAGAATCAAAATAAGATAAATTATAGATAGGAATGCAGACAACCTGACAAGGTTTAGGTGCTCACGGAGAAGAGATGTTTGGTACGATGCCTGCATCACCGCCACCTCCCTAACAATGCCAATAATGACAAACAATAGAATCTGCTATACCCTCAATTGTGCATACATACATTGTAACATTCAAATTTTCTATAGTAATAGGGAGACAAATATTTTTCGTTCTATTATTCCAATGAAAATTCATGCAACATAATTTTTTAAAAAATGCTCTTATCAATTCTTCATGCATCTTGCAGCAGAGCATCAAAACAATATAGAATTGAGGATTAATTTCCACAAAATATGGATACCTAGGTACAGTTAGGACACTTGGGATATTTGATGAAAAACTAAGTTATAAATAAACAGCTGAAGCATTTTAAAAAATATATGCTTTTATATGCATAGCTCTTGATCCAACACTCAAAATATATTTAACAATAACCAGTAAATAAAATCTAAAAATAATCAAAACATAATCACTTTTAAGGCATTGGCCTACACCTGCAATAAGCTAAGTATTTACATCCTTTTCTTTTCTTTTTTTACACAAATTAAAGGTAAAAAAGAAAAGAAAAAAATATGTTTTTTTTTCTTCTTCTTCTTCTTCTTCTTCTTTATATATTATATATATATATATATAATATATATATATATATATATATATATATATATATATATATATATATATATATATATATTATATATATATATATATAATATATATATATAATATATATATATATATATATATATATATAAATAAATAATATATATATTATATAATAAAATAGTAATATATATACAAATATAAGATATAAAATATATATATATAAATTATATACTATATTTAATATATTGAATATATTATTAGAATAATCTATATATATATATATATTTTATATATATATCATACTATATATAACTATATATTATATATATATTAGATATTTATACAATATACCGTATATTAATATATATATTACATATAAGATATATATATACTTGAAGAGTATATATATATATATATAGTATATATGTTAATTGTATTATATAAATTTATATTTATTTTAATATATATATATTTCTATTTTAATATTTAATATATATATATATACATATATTTATATATTTATGAATCTAATAGATATATATATATATATTATATATATATATATATATTATATGATATATATTATATATATATAATATGATTTATTTCGTTTATTAATATATATATATACTAGTATATAATAAGATATATAGAGCTATATATAGTTATATACATTGGAGGGGGATATGGAGGGTGAGAATTATGATAGGAAATAGGGTATTATTCATATCTTCTATTTTTTCATACATTTTTATTATTATTATACCTCATTATCTTCCTATATATACGATGCCTAGTATAGATATATATCCATTACTTTTTTATATTACTTATATATCATTTAAATACCAAAATATATAATTAAATAAAAGTATATATAAATATAATATTAATAATAAGAAGTTAAAAATTGTTATACCTCTCTTTCATATTAATTTAATAACCCAATTAATTCAACCTTTTTATATGATCAATTACAGATAAATTACCTATATTAGTTCTAAAACCCATTGAAGTACTATATTTTTATAAATTAAGGCAATTAACATATTATCTAAAAACATGAATCACTCTAATTATTGCTTATTAGGAATGTAAAAATTAAGCTCACTCATTTCCACAATTCAATAAAATCAGGACCGTCAATTAATTACCAATTAAAAGAGTTAAAATAATCAAAAACACGTCAAATACAAATAAATAAACGAAAACGTGAACAAACAATAAGCGATATTCCTCCCTTAGAAAATCCCTGAAACTCACTCTTTCTTCTGCGCAGTCTCCTTGTAGAACAACCGATCATCTTTTAGAGTGTTGATCAGTTCCCTCATACTTGAACGTTCCCTCTCCCATTCCACCTCCCTTGCTTGGAGCTCCGATACTCTGGCCTGAAGTAAACAACATTGGCATTAGTGGGGTTGCACATTCCCTCTCATTAGTCTCAACTGCCTGCAAAATATTTTGCATTCCTTGTTTATGATAGAAAGTTTCAGAAGACTTACTGTTAACCCTGTTTAATATCACCCAACTTTAAAGACAAAATACAGGCAAATACTCATAATAGATAAATAGATAGATAGATAGATAGATAGATAGATAGATAGATAGATAAATAGATAAATAAATAAATAAATATAAAAATAACACAAATCTTACATCCTAATAGCCATTTTTCCAGACCATAGCTACCTGAAGGAGCACACCGCTATCCCCTGCCAGGTCGTTCCTCCTCGCAAGGGCTTCTGTGAGTTGGCTGTGCTGAGACTCCAACCTCGTCACCTCTTCGTGCCTCCGCTCGATCTCTCGTATTAATTCCGCCCGGTTGAGGCCCTCATAGTTGCCTGCCAATCATTTGAAATTGGGGTTAAAAAGGTGACTTCAAATTGGATAATATGAAAAATGTAAAGGAAAAGCAAAAAAGTGGTGGGATGTGAGATGGAGAGAATGCTAAGAATGATTAAAATATGAATCATAATAAGAGTTATAATAATCATCGTAACAATAACAATTAAAATAAAAGTAATAACAGCATTATCATCATCATTACCACATTAATAACAATAACAACAACAACAATGATAATGTTATTTAGCCTTAATCTAAAACCTGCAATCTAATCTTTATAGCCCTCATTTTAGTTACTATTTGTTAAATTGCAAAATCAATGAAGACTGACATTAAGATAATATACACTGACCAAAAAGGGGGACACAACAAACTTAAAGATAGCCTATGTTCTTTTTTTTTTAATCAATATCTTGCTGAAACTTATTTGAGAGTTGTGCCTTCTGAAGAGCTACAGTGACAAAAGTTTGCTTTTATTTACAGGTCTTAAAATTTACTGGGATTTATCTACGTTTTTTAAAGATTCTGCCCTTCAAATTAATTGAAATGCAACCCCCTATCTTTTAAAAGATTAAATTCAAAATTATTTCTGCCACAAAATACTTATTCAAAGAATGTAAATAACAGCCTGAATAATTTCCTATAGTATGGATTTTCGAAGGCAAGTTGTTGAATTTCATTTCCTAGTGAAAGTAAGAACAAATATAATGAATAGCAACAAAATTCCATTTCTCTTTGACAATAATGTTAGCAATCATCAGTTGCCCTTTCAAGACCTCTGTTTATATGGATCCATGCACACAGTCATGTAAGGATAAATCTTAGCATTCTGTGAATATGTCTGTGCACTTCAACTAGGATTTAGAGTAAGCTTCTGAAAGAATTCTCAAGAGTGATTGCAGCTTTAAGTAAATGTGAGCACTCATTGGCAGTTGTGAAAGAGCATCGGACATGCGATGATTTCCACATTTGCTGAAGTGTACATTTCAAGACATGCATATCTGTCTTGCAAGACTCTCTAGTATTTCAAAGCACATACAGATCTACTAACTTTTGACTTCATCAGAAAGCCCTAGAACCCTCTCTATGTCTGCTGTGAGCTTGGCCTTCTCCGACGCCAAGGCTGCCACCTGCTGTCCAAGGCGGGCGTTCTCTTCCTCCATCTGGGTGAGCGCGTGCCTTAAACTGTGCGTGGGTGACTCCTGGCCATCACCGCCGTCCCTATAGCCGTGCATGCCCTCCCTGCTCTCCCGACCACTGCCACGAAGGTTGGACCAGTGGGCCACATTCATGCTCTTCCCGTCAGGAGGTGTAGGAGGCTGCAAGTGCAGTTGTGCGTGTGTGTGCTGAGGAGAGCTTTGCTGGGGAACCTTTTGGTACTGCTGTTGAGGGTGCTGCTGCTGCTGCTGTTGATGCTGGTGATGTTGCTGAGGCTGATATTGCTGTTGCTGCTGATGCTGTTGAGCCACATTCAACTGATTCCTCAGTCTTACAACCTGAAAGGTATGGGAGAATTAGTCAAGAATCTGTAATGAAACAATCCCAATCTAAAGTAAAGTTGATTATTACAAAAAAAAATTCCTTTTCAAAGTTTCCATCGGTAAGTTAATCTATTACAAGGGAAGGAAGAAATGAATAAAGGTTTTCATTTGCAGGATTGTTAATATAATGAAGCCTGCCTTCCTTTTATCAAAGAATTGAAGATTACCAACTAAATACATACAAATTCATTATAAATACACCAATTTCAAGTACATTAATATAACATTTTTTGTTGTTCTAAATACCAAAAAACAAGCATCTGGTAAAAAGGAAAAATAATAACCACGTGAAATCCAGTATTATTTTTACCAAAAAGAGAATGTCTTCTATATAATGTAAAAATAACAGAATAATAAATTCCATACATTAACAAACACACTTTTAAAAACATGCAAATATCAAACCATATAAAAATAGTTATAGTCTAATAAATCAAAACCTCTACCACTACCACCAAAGCAGTACAAAAAACAATAACAGAAGCCGCTCACACTCCAAGGAAACATGTACTATATCAGACATGCCTTATTTATCCTTGTGGAGGCAATATCTACATTCAAACTAACCTCCTGGTAATAAGTTTCAGCCTCTATCTTCAGTTCATTCAAGGCCGTTGCTTTGGCTGAGGCTTGAAGCTTTGCAAGCTCAGCTTCCTTATCCTTTAGTGTCGATTCCAGGCGTGAAACTCTCAACTTCAAGCTGGACACTAGAGAGGCTCCCTTGTCCGTTAACTTTCTCCTAGCCTCGTCATTCTGCACGGTTAGTGTAAGCAAAAGAAAACCACACACTGTTAGCTTGTTAAGAAAATGTCTTGTCACTGCCTTCCACCTACCCTTAGAAGAGAGTTGTAGTAAGAAAAGGCATCAGTACTTAATTTAGCTTTTCTTGCAACCGTTGTTTTCTCCCTTGGCAATGTAATCCCACTCAATATTGGATGAATTAATTGTGGCCCTATTTCAATCACACAAGAGAAGAGGTTAAGTCTCTGGAGATCGCCTCCAGTGATGGGATAAAAAGCATATGAATCAGTAAACATATACCCATAATTACATGTATATGTATAGAAGTAGGTCCAAATATATTCATATATACATACATACATACGTACTTGAGAAAATGTATGTCCATATGTATAAATGTATATTTTTCAAGTGTACACATGTAAACACAAGTACATGCATAAAATAGAGAACTTGAAACCAGAAAATCTTCATGCATCACTTATTGTTATTCACCCTTTGGCATTCTTAATGGATAAAATGATCTTAAACTTATTCTCCGACAAAATGGTGACTGAACTGTGTCTTGTCATTCTACACCTACCTTAGCTGGATCCATCAGCTGTTCTATCTGACGGTCTCTGCGGATCAAGTCTTCTTCGAGACGTCGGGTGCGTGTCTTGAGACCAGAGTTCTCTTCCCGCAGCTCTCCAAGGTGTCTTCGGAGTTCTTGTATTTCCTGGTACTGCTCTTCCTGTTTGCAGAAAGCAATTTATAAAAAAGTGGACATATTGAAAATGAACACTTAAAATACAAATATCTAATTATCAAAATTAAGATATTTGTACTTATAATGGGTAATGATTTGGACTGGTAACTATAATAATAAAAAATCATAACAATTTTCACAATTAACAATACTCCACTTATTACAATATTTACTATAAGCAATCCTGGGATTAACAGGAGCACATTCAAAATATTACCCAACTTAAAATCATATGAATATCATCATCTCTATAATTTCGCCTATTAAAAAGGTCTTTCTCTATGCCACTTCCTCAAAATGCTTAAAAAATAAATAAGTAAATATATGAAAATAAAAAATAAAATATAAAAGAAAGAAAAAAATACAAATATATAAACTATTAACATGCATGACTAAACAAACAATCAAATGTGATAAATAATTCTATTCCTCCTTACTTGAGATTTATATGCAGGTTTTCCAGCATTCGTGCGAGAGTTTCCCGTTCTCCCGCAGTGTATTTCTGTCCTGGAGACGAGGGGCTTTACGCCTCCTACATCAATATCTGAAGTGACAGTAAATTTGGTTTAAAATCTTCACAGATCCTGTACTGTAAATATAGATAACACTACACAATAAGTTCTGAGAGGTAAATAATAACGACAACATTCACTGGAATAAATTACCTTCAGCCTTAATTAAGCTATTAAAATCTCCAGCTAATGAATGAACATTATACAAAAGTAGCCTTTTTTCACAGCTAAGCAATGGCTTCGATAGTTGTCATTAAATACTTTAACACTTAAAAACATCAACTAATTTATCAACCCATGAGTGATTTAGTTCCATTCTATATCTGAAAGCAATCTCAGTCCAAATTCATATCCCTATCTATTGCCTTAGTCCTTCTGTACTATGCTTCTGTTTTTGCAATATTAAAAACCTTTTAAAATCTAAATATGACATCTCTGTAAACACCCAAGATAAATAAAGATGCCTTTTCCACAGAACATACATTATTCTTATTACTGCAAAACAAATTTGAGCTCTGTAGTATGTTACAGATATATATTATGAAATACAATTGAACTAAACATATGCAAACAAATACTAGTAATCTGTGCAATGTGCTAAATGTAATTAAAAATATAGAGGTACATATCTAATAATATCAAATAAAAATGTGCAGGAATGTTCAACTTGCAAAAAATAAAGACTTTTGTTAAAAAAATATATAAACATAACAATAAAAATCAGATGTGAGACAAAAGTAAAAATAAGTATCTTGCAAATGCCAAATAATGGACAACCTTTTCAGACCCGCTCTCAGCTTCCTGAAAATCAAATGTAATCATATAATTCTTCCCACCGGGCAACACCAAAAAATATGACAATCATGTGTGGCATATTTCTACACTAAAAAAGAAAGCTGGTGCAATCTAAAAAAAAAGACATGCAAGCATACAGTGACAGACGCTGCAGAAACAATGCAAGGTGAGAGATCCACACAACAACCATGGTACAACCACCGCCCTTACTCTTTCCGTCACGCATGGTTCTAGCGCTGTTGCATCTAAGTAATGGATGGGGGCCTGCTGCCTTGAAGGTCAACACAGCTGACTTTGAGCCATGTCTTCTGGTAGCTGGTTAGTAAATGATGAAGATGTTAGTTGGGAAAACACTCCAGAAAAGGACACAGCACGCTAAAACACCACACTTATACACCAATCACTACATGTTATTATCAAACCCAAGCATGGTATTTTACAGCTCTCTGCATAATCTATGAAAAGATCAGTTAAACCAGGGACACAGTTAAATATCATCTAATTCCATTCATATTTAATAACTGCTAAAAACAGTATTGGAATGTATTATGATATTCATCTGCTCAGGAAATCTACTAAATAAAAATAAAAGACAAACTTTACATACGACTCAACAGCTGTTAATATGAGCAATACAGACTATAAGAGAAAAAGTTAATTAAATCTAACATTGATATATTTCCAATGCTAATAATTGAATGATATTAAATAAAGGAGGGGAAAAAATGCATCTACATCATACACCTTCTGAAGACCTCTTCCTTAATTCAAAAAGTAAATGAAAGGTCCTGTTTTATCTTTCTTTCCCAATAACAAAAGTCTAAAACAGAGAGCATCTATTCCTTGTCTAACATGCAATCTTTCAACATGCTTTTATCCAGACTCCGAGATTTCAGTCTGACTCAATTCCATAATAAAAACACTAAAAAATAGACAAATATATATATGAAAAAAATTATTTCCTACAATTACTAATATTCTTTAAAAAATGCATAACATCAATATGTTGATTATGTGGAAGCATGCAACGGTGACCGCAATAAC